TATCTTCTACACCCATCAATTCGCTCCTTTTTGCTGACGATGTGGCTATATTTGGATCACCTGCAGATGTCCAATATATGGTCAACCTTGCAGCTCAGCATTCCTTTTTGCTTGGATATTGTTGGAGCCCATCTAAATGTGCAATTGTATACCCTTCTTTTCGATCTCCTCACCAGCAACAGCTATCTATTTATGGTGAACTTCTTCCTGCAGTTCAGGAATTTATTTACTTGGGTGTCCCATTCCGCAACAAGGGTATTTGTGGGCCTTCTGTAGTTTCTCATCATCATTCTGGCACACTTGCTACAATGTCCAATCTGAATTCTGTTGGTGCTTGTCGCTCTGGATTCTCTTTGCTTTTGAGCTCCAGACTTTACAAGACATTTGTTCGCCCCATATTTGAGTATGGTTTAGCCATCACTATTCTACGCAAAAAAGATTATACTGAGATAGAACGTATTCAAGACAAATGTTTGCGTATGATTGTTGGTGGTCATGCTACTTCTTCTACTGCAGTACTGAAACATATTTGCAATTTGCCAAGCATGCAGTTTTGCTCTGATATTTTGATATCCAATTTCTGTATTTGTGCTCAATCCCTTCTGTCTGGTTGCCTGCTATCACTTTTACATTTACATCATCCTCAGTCGTCCTCTTTACCTGCTTTATCAAAAAATTCTCTTTTTGTCAGCATCCCCATCACACTGAATTTTCATAGCAATACCAAGCTCAAGCGGTTTTTTGAGACATTTCATCAGTTCAAGTTTGATCAGATGCGACTTACCAATACCAAAGTGTTACTTCAAGCATGCCATCTGTTGTGGTGGTTGAAGTTGAAGAAGTTTTTAAGAGGAAGAATTGAAGATTTGAGATTAGGAATGAAGATTCGTGAGAACTTGTGTAGGTTTTGTTTATTGAGAAAGATTTGGTATCAAAGTTTGGTCAGGTTCCTACACTGAACTACTACTGCTATTTATATTGTTTTGGATTGGGAAAATTATATGACTGGAGTCAGGTAATCGATCCTATCTGAGCCTTAATCAGAGCAACGTGATCTTGGGATAATTAATGTATGATTAATTATATAAATGTGTGTAGTCCCAATGAAGTATTAACATCGAAAGTAAATGTGTTTACGAGTTATAATTATGCTTATAATAATCCACTGATGTATCCCATATTATGGTGATATCATCATATGAAATATAATCACTATCATGCATGCTAAACCTGTGTGTTAAATAATAAAGTAATTGGTAGACACCTTTGACTGGAATAGCTGAGGCCTTATATTGTTTCCTTCAGACTTATTCTCAATTACAGCAGTAGTCAATACTCATTTACAACAGTTTGTATATTCTGTTAGTTCTCTCTATAGATATTTTCTATGCTATATCTTTATAGAAAGATTTACATATATTGAAGTGCTATTACATTAGGCGTTTGGCATGTATATAAAAAAATATGGCAGTTGTATTAAAAAAATACAACATTTACAAAAAAAATACTACAGCTCTATAAAAATAATACAAGGTTTACAAAAAAAAATTCTATGGTTATAAAAAAAAATATGACATTTACAAAAAAAAAGTACAACGTTTGAAAAAAAAATACTATAGTTATATAAAAAAATTGTAAGGCATAAGGATAAAAAAATTGAGTGCCATGTACCCTTCCACCAATAATAAAAGGGGGGAGCAAATTCAGATGGCAATGGGAGCAAATTCAGTTAGCAATGGATGCAAATTCAATTTCTATGGAAGTCAATCAGATGTCAATGGGGTCTAATTAGATGGAAACGGATGCTATATCAAGTCTCAATCTGGTATTTCTTTTCTGGCACTTGTAACTAAGTCGCAGAATTAATACCACTGGGGAATGTCAAGTTTATGAATAGTTTTTAGATAAGAATAAAGATATTTTTTATTAAATATATTTCTTGACTATTTATACGAATTGATACTTGATTTCTGACTAAAAGAATAGCTACGTCAATATGTCTTAGATGCTAGTTATCCAGCACTATAGGAAAAAAGTGGTCTTTTTCGAATTTGTGACTTCATTTTTGGTCTATAATAATTAAAAAGTCACCAAAAATACAAAATGAAACATGCAAATCTCTGTTCTTTGAAATGGGCAATAAAAAGCAAGTGAACTACCAAAAGTTAGATCTCAGAAGAAACAAATATATATTTTAATTATAGATATTACATTTATAGTAAGTATATAGAGCAATTGAGAAATATTGGATATCAGACGTAAAAAGAAAGAAAATATCTAAGCTTTTGTTACTTGAATAAAATTTGTAAAGACAATTCAAAGGCACACTAAAAAAATTAAATAATGAACCGTATGTCATCATTGTAAAATTACTATATTAATATTTCATATAAAAAACTAACTAATACATTTGTACAAAATATATGATGCTAATAATGACGTGAACTTTTCTCTTATTTTTCTTTTTATTCATAACAAACCCTTACATCTGGTTTTATTGTCATTATTATGAATAATATCTGTATAAAAATCATCCAGTTACTTAAATTTACGCAAGAAGCACTACAAAAGAAACAAGCAAATCTATAACTGGAGATCACCAAACTACATAATGTTACGAATGGATGCACATGTGAGGAGCCAACCTCAGACTATGATGTAAGAAATAATAAAACAAAAAAAAGACATGTAAACTAATATAAAGTAATATAGACTCTTGCTGTCCCAATTCCAAGACTATTGCCTGTATTAAATCTATAACTTTGAAATATAACTTTAGAATGATGAGTCAGAATCTTAGGGTTGAACTTAACAAGAAAAACGCAAAGCAATTATTAATACTTGTACATGTCTGATATGTGATAAAATGGCTGACAATCTTTCTGTATAAGCTTTAGAACCAAATCCAGATAGGATGTCTATTTCTCAAGATGAGAAGAACTTGATATATGCCAAACATATATGCTCACTCAAACGAAGTGATGTTGGCTTTACTGGATGTCACAAAAGCTGAACATCTCTTCCAAAAGTCTGTTATTCATAGAAAAACCATGTGAAGCAACAACCTTCTAGTAAGTTTATGTTCGTTAAGTACATTAAATTATATATTAAATATGAAGATATGAAATAATCTGAATGATATTTGGCCAATGATATTCAGAAATAAAGACTTTTATTATTATAACAACCAATAAAAACATTTTTAAATAATAATCTTTTACAAAATAAAATCTTTTTACCCAATTAAATTTGTAAATGAAACAGAATATATATAAATGAGGGTTAATTGAAGTAATGTTTTTGTTAAAATGACCAATAATATAAATTTTCATACTGCAATAAAGTTTCAATTATCTAATTAAAAGTAATAATATGACCAAAGTATTTTATGAGTGACCATATAAAGAGAAAACTCTTTTATTACTACCAATAAAAAACTTTTTTTTTCTACCAATAGCATAAGAAAAATGATATATAAACTAAAACATCGCACTGGAAAAATTAAAAAAAATAAGGTAGTTTAAATATGGGGTATAGTGTAATGTGCTTTCCATATTTAAATTAGTTGATTTTTTTTCCACTTGTGCTGAAGGTGACCTTCACAGATAGTGGAATGACTAGAGTCAACTAGCGGAATTGTGGGTGGGGGGTGCCGCAGGTAAGGTTTGTTAGCACTTTAGATATACTTATCTGACTTGATATATAAAAAGAAAGTTTTTTAAAACTGCGTATCTATTTTGATATTCTTTATATGGAACCATAAAGATCAGACACCGACATATTATGAAGATTAAAAGTAGCGTAAAGGTGACCTTTAAGTTAGTTTATTGTTAAGAAGTTTGGTCATCAGCAGCAAAAAAAGGCGTCTTTAAAATTATGGACCAGTAATATGTTCTTTATTTATTTGGTTTCCCGTTCTTATTAGGTTGGTAATGGTTTACGCTTTTATTTTTATTGGAAAGAATAGAATGTTTCTAGGTTTCAGATCTAATAATACTATTCTATATCTCTAGCTACTTCTTGCTTGGTCGGTTTGTTATATTTGGGATAAAAAATTTTTTACAAAAAAGAAATACCTAAAAAAAAATGAGCTGCTCAATACGTTTTTTTTGGGGTACGAGCAGTACTCTTTGAGAATAGATAAATCGTTAGTGATGGGTGTGCGTGTGTGTTGGATATTTCAATTCTTATAAACCATTAATACTTACATTGTAATTATCCAGTACAAAGACCAACCAATAAAATATTACAAGTAAAGCTACGGAATTTTGATTCCTTTGACTATGAAAATGATTGAAAAAAATTAATTTTTGTGAATTGGGTCATATAATTATTAATTTACATACCCAAAGCAAACGGATTTATTTGTAGATATAGATAATACTTATCAAAAGTCGATATAGTATCTGGTAGTTTTTTTATTAATAAACAGTATAAGTAATATAATGATACATATAAGGATAGTAAAAGAACAAAAAAAAGTCTTACCATGTTAATGACAGCAGCATGAGGTAGAAGCTTTTGATTCATAACATGTTTTGGAGAGGGTTGTTCATCTATAGTAAAAATTGGATTCAGTTTGATTAATATTAAAGAGAAATATAATAAATAAATAGATGAAAATATTATTGTGTTGGTGGTCGTGTTTAGCTGTAGAAAATATTTTTGGTGATATATCCTATAAAAAAGAAAGGAAAAAATCAGGATACTTTTATGAGATGATAGTATGAAGTATATTTACTAACCTTGGCTAATCCGGATGGCCATTGTGAAGAGAATGCATCAGAAGGAAACTATACACAAGTGACTATGGTAGCAGAAATACTTGTTATTACTCAGCTATATTTGAAGAAATTACTAATAAAGAAAAATAAAGAAAAAAAGCACCTTACCAGGAACATTTGCAAGTATAAGAGTAAAAGAGAAAGAAAGAAGTAAAAAGAAAAGAGAGGGCGAGTGTCTATGGCAACTGAAACAACTAATTCTTTTTAGTTATATAAAAAAAGTACTTTAAAAAAGCAGATTAAAAAAAAAGACTAATAAAAAAATAAAAAATGGGTGGAGACAGCAACGAAGAGTGTGTCTATGGCAACAGAATAAATAAATTCTTTTATTTTCTATAAAGAAGACTTTTTAGAAAGAACATGTCTTACACAAATAGTTTGCAAATATAATAGAAGTTGCAGAGATAGAGAAACAAAGAAAAGACCAATAGCAAATATAAAGAGCAAAAAAAAAGAGAAACAGGAACAACAATAAAAAAAGAAAAAAAAGAAAAAAGAAAAGTGCATTTGAAACAAAAGACTAGACTGGTTTGATCAATTGGGTTCTAAAGCAGTATGAAAGCCGATTTGCATTTCAGTGATTACAAGAAGTATTAATAGAGACTTATATATCAAAGATATGCTGAATATCTATATAAATCATACGTTTTATATAATTTGTTTACTCTTTCTCCTGCTTTCTTGCTACTTATTGCACTCATACTCAAACACACACACATCAGCCCATTTTATTTCAAATAATTTAAGTATGTAAATTTGATATAATTTATTTTTAATTCAATTCAATTCAATTGTATAATAACATCAATAACAATGTAATCTAAAATTAACAGTTACATTTTTACCTTTTATTATATTCTGTAGACAATGGCTATTCAAAGACGTCAACTTGCTCTTCGTCCCGTTGAGATTACAAATGAACAATTGATGGAAATTCTTTCTACTTTGAAAACTAATATGACAGCCATGGGAACCAACATGGCAGCTGACATGTCGATTGTACAAGAACAAATCGGCACTGTTGAAGATACATTGCTAAACATGAATAGCAGAATTGGTGTTCTTGCCACCAGCAGCACTGAGACAATCACTGCTATTGACAGTTTAAGCATGGCTCCCCTCGTTTCCTCTACCAATACAATGGCTAATGTTTCTCAGCCTGCCTTCAACGCCCCGTCTGAGTTTAGCAAGAAGGCCTCTAATGATGTTTATGTGAGTATCAATGTGTGCAAAATTTTATCAATGTATTTTCTCATATATTCTATCAGGTCCATATTCGTAATCTCATGTGGGATCCCAAGCTGAAAACAAGAAATCAAGTTAATATCCTGGCAAATGAGAGTAAGCCCAGATGGAATACAAATGTTTTCTTTTACAAGTCGCCAAACAAGGAGTTGGCGATGCGACTTCTTGAAAACTTGAAGCGCAAGTTTACTCATGAGGGATTTAGAGAGGCAGACTTGAGAGCAAGACTGCACAAAAACTTCACCAGCCGGGTTTCAAAAGCAAGAAAAGCTGAAGAGGAAATAAAAGCAACAAACACTTGTTTGAGAAGAGCAGGATGTGCCAGAGATGTAAGTGTAATCTCTAAATAAATAACTTCAAAATAATATAGTTTAGTCTTGAGAATTTTAAAAATACTAATACAAAAAACTACTATTAGAATCATACTCGCCATTTACTTGCATACACAGACAACAAAGAAGCAATTGATCTACAAATGAAGAGAGATTGTGACTTCACAATGCAAATGGCAGCAATGTCTGATAGAGAATCTGCAGATGAAGACTTCGAGAATCGCACAAAGAGCATCGTCAAGATTGTTCAGCCAGGATAGAGAAGTAACGAGGTATATTATTTTATATTAATAATTATGTCTTATTATAAAAAATATAAAGTGAAGTATTAACAAAATCATTTTAGTTCAATACTCTCATTAAACTCATTGATGAATATGTTATTGAAGCAATGGGGTCAAGTGCTTCTCAAATGAAGGAGAGGGTTTTCACCAGTGTGTCTAATACAGCAGTCCCAGATGACATAACCTCCAAATTTCCTCAGTGGGCCCTTAGAGACGGGTATTAAATAAACAAAAATTGCCTCTCTCTTTTTATCTATATATTACTTTTCACATACAAAATACTATCAATATATATATCAGAAATACGCGCTCTGTTTTTTTTTGTTAAAGAAAAAGAAATGTAAAAGTTCACTTTATTTGTTATTTAAGCATATAGCTTCTTTGGCAATGGAATTACCAGCATTTTGCTAACATTTCTACTTGTTGCAATAGTAGCTGTAGCAACCTCTAATAAGATGCGATGTACCGGTATAATGCTATGGTAGCTATCAGAAGAGAACGTGGACAAACAAAATTCAACACCATCATCCTCATGCGACCTATCAGAGGAAGTACGAAACCACTTGATAAATGCGAATACATGTTGATGATCATGAACTATGCGAGTCAGATGGAGATTGTGTGTGGGTGGAAGTTGGAAGGAGTGTGTAAAAAGATACTGAATTTGTCCAGCAAATCCAAGTATAATGTTTCCATTACTACTAACAAACTTTGCCTGAACAAGTGATCCGCAACTGATCGTGCTGTTGTTTGTTCCTCAATAGTGTTGACCAAGAATGTCAATTGACTTCAATTTGATGATTTGATTGTCAAGTGCTGGACGATTATAGGACGTGTTCTGATAGCTGGCAAGGTCTGGGAGGTTTTAAGCGACTTGGTAATATTCAAGTAAATGGAGATAGTCAGAATCATCCATTACTGATGGCTTTTTGTATTTTAGAGGAAATGTAGAAGGAGGAAGAGGCTCGTTACCCTTGGGTGGATTATAAGGATCAGTGTAGCCTTGAACGAAGGCTTGCAATCTGAATGGGCGACTGGAGAGAGTGGTGACTGTGGCGGCAGGTATGGAGGTTGTAACAAGTTTAGACAGAGTGTGAATGAAGGGGATCTGGCTAGAACTTTTAAGAACAGCATTGACATAATCACCCTTATACGCATTCTGAACAAAATTTTTCATGTAGGTCGCCTCAAAACCATCTTTGTCATTTGTCTTGAAATTCTTTAAAATACCATTGTATCACTCAAACCCAAAGAGCCAATAACCATACACTGGTCCAAAATCACGAATGCACTCGTGAAGATGGAGGTGTAGATGCATATTGCAGGTGAGAATAGTAGCGGTATAGTCTACGTTACATGCATTGCAAAACTTTTCTAACAGACTGTGGGCAGTGGTGATCTCATCAAAAGTAATGCTGGGCTTTACATAGTATCAGCATGCATCAACGAAATACATTCAGTTCTTGAATTGTAATGGGGGAGAATACCATGCAACAAGACAGGAGAATAAACCAGAACCTATGATTTCCACTCGTCTGCTTTCATGTAGCTGAAGCCCTTTCCAATTTTGGTTGTCAGTGTGATGTAATCTCTGGGCAGTACCATTGTCTCTGCAATTTTCTCCATCGAAGCAAACTCTTCAGGTCCAATTGTCTTCTCATCAATCTACCGATCCATTAATTTCTGAGACCTCCCCAGGAAAAGGTTATGCATGGGATCAATGATCGTTTCACGTACTAGATCAAAGTATCCAAGGCGTTGCAACTGCAACCATCGAACACCATTTTCGACCTCCAGCTGATGCCTTTCTGAGAGTGTACTTGCATCCTTCCACTCCTCAGCATGCAACCTGCTCTCTGCACCACTGCGGATATTTCAACAAGAATAATTGAATCCACGGAAATCAATCTGGTTGCTGCTCCCTAACCGAGTAAACTGCCGGCTGCACCTGTAACAAGCACATGTGCTGTTATGCGCTGTGAATCCACTTGTCTTTCTGGTGGCTGGGATATCACATGCAACCATCAGTAGTGCAGCACGAACACTGACACCATTTGAGAATTTGTGTGTAGGAATCCGCATGCCAACGTACAGCTGCTTCAAATCATCCACCAAGGGCTCCAAGTAACTATTGATCTCGTTGGTTTTTGGCTCCTTTGGACCAGGCATGAGACCTACAAGGATAATATTCTCTGTCTTGAATCTTTCATCACGGGGCAAATTGTTGATGGCCAGATAGATAGCACCAGAGGAGTGAGTGACACCATCAAAGGGCTGGAACCAGTCGATATTAAGTGTTAACAATAGTGAGTGTGAGTCCAACACAAATGATACACCATCCTTGTCCTTCAACTCCTTCCACATCGCACCATCATAGATATCGCACAGAGTATCTACTATCTTCAACTCCTTATTCCATTGACGAATCTTGGCTTTGAAACTAGGGTGACAGAAGAAAGCGCTCAATGTATTTTTAATGGATTGGTAGACATATTCACGCTTTGCAACCAAGGCACTGGAAGATACGGATTTCGTCAAATTACAGTTGCATGCAGACCTGGCACCAAGTTTTGAGGAAACACATCGAGAAGGAGCAGATACAATATCCTGATATACTGTATGACAGTCTTGGCACACCACAAATTTCTTGATGCCTTTTGTAATAGCAGAAAATCCTGTCATTTTTTGTAAATTGGCAAGACTGGTTGGTAATTGAAAATCTTGGTCGTAGATTCTCAGCAGGTTGTTGATAAACTCAATCAAGACAGCAGCACCCTTATCAACAACATGACGTGAAGCAAACAGTACCGTAAAGATGGCTATGAATTGATGGACTTCATTTTCGGGCATATTAGGAGCAGCAAAAGGGTCTGTAAAAAATTAAAAAAAAATTAACACTTGATTTTTCTTTTACTCTCTTTTTCTTTTAGTTTTCTTTATGTATCTCACACTGATCTTGACTGTTGAAGTCCTCAATCTCAATCTCATTGACTTCATCTTCAACATTGTCATCGAAATCATTGTTGTCTCTGTCATTGTCAAACATTGAGGTGGCATCCAAAAAAGGTGAGTTGGTCTGACCGTCCATTGCTTCCACAGAATCAGAACGAGAGATTGGGATTACTACAAATATGGAATATAATAGTTTATTAGTTTTTTTTTCTACTTTCAAATAAAAAAATTCTTACTCTCAGTATCTACATCCATGTTTCTCATTGCGACTGTGTTTCATTAAAAGTTTAAAAATAAACAACATAAATAAAAAATAAAAATAAAAAATTAAAACGATTATTACGCAGCAAACAAAAATCCAACACTGAATATATTATACTATTCTCAAATATTCTGGTACCTTCAACTCTAGCTCTCTTATTACGACGAGTCTCAGTACGCTTTGCAGCATAAGAAGATTTCTGATGACTGTTGTGACATTTAATGCAGTGACAGTCTAAGGTGTGGGTTTGGGTAGAGGGAAACATATTGTGTATAGCTTGAATTATAAAATAAAAAACCATCTCGGCTTAGACCAAAGTCTATATCAAGTAAGGCGTTCTATATTCCGATATACTCGGTTTTCTCTTTTTTCTTGTGTGACTTTATTTTGGTTTTATTTGTATAAAAAAACATGAAGCATAGAGAACAGAAAACATAGAGAAGTAGGCTTGTAAATATAATTACGTAAATAAGTAAAAAATAAAAGCATAAAGAATAGTATAAAATAATTAGCATAATTTACATAAATTTTGCCCACAAAGGAGAATGGTAACTGGTCAAAGATATGTATCTTCCTGAATCCAGCACTGGCATAGTTGAAAAGATGTTGTCAATGAGAGTATTCTGGCTTGTTGTTGATTGAATAGTGTTAGGGAGCGTAGTAGTCATATTTCTGTTATTCATAAATTGAAGTAATGTCGTTTTCTTGATCGATTCTTTTGTGAAATCAACATTAAAGTCACCAGCAATGGTTATATGCATATACGTATGACTAACAACAAATTCTAGTGCTTCCATCAAGGTATTTAGTTGGTATAGTGGGGATATATATATGCTGCAATATAAGTTGCTGCTTAATATAAATAATGATATGCTTGTTGATCCACCTGCTTCATCAATGAACATTCTGGAACTGGTTGTATAAACCAAAGAATCGTCGTTTGAGTTGTTCGTACTAGGTAAAAGAGAGCTACAAATATAGCAGCAAGAACCAGAAACTCGTGCATTGGTTGAATGGCTATCTATGCGAGATATCATGGTGAAGTTTGGAATATCATATTCTTCATTATTAGGCAGTGTCCAAGTTTCATTGCAAAGAATAATATCAGATGTTAAGTATACTTGATCGCTGGTTATCTGGTTTATATGTGCCCTCAAGCTTTGCACATTATGTGAAATTAGCTGTATATAATCACTTGTTTCTTGCTTTTGTAGTTGACTAAATGATAATCCTAACTGTATTATCTGCTGTCTAATGAGCTCATTTTTCAATTGATTGTTTTGATCTTCTGCTATTGGTCTGGGCGGAACAAATCTGTTACCCTTGCATATTAACTTTAAACCTTCTGCAGAAGTAGCTCTAGAGCATGCAACATATAGGAGTGATTGAGACATTCTGTGTGATCCATGGTCAAATACAACAACTGATTTATATGTGCCTCCCTGTGACTTGTGTACAGTGAGTGCTTCAGCTGGAACAATTGGGAATTATGTACGGGTTAGATGTATCTGACTTTTGATATTTCTGCGAATTATGTTACAGTGTGGTTCTATCATTGTCAGATCGTCTGAAATCCCAAGACTACATCGAATTCTTTGTTGCTGTCTCCTCAACTGCTTCCCACTTCTTTCATCATCAAACCTAATCCACAATCTTAATGGCTTTCTTAAAACTGTAGAAGTAGATGTTTCAGAGGCAGTGCTGTCTGGTACAATATTTTGGCCATAATCAATCCTCTTCAAGATTCCAGTTGCACCATTGACAAGTCCATCTGCTGTATCTAGGTTTGCAGTCATCATATATTTTCCACTTATTTTTAGCAAAAGCGTTTTTATCAGACCCTGAACATCGGATTGCTTTGCATGATCATTAGCAGAATGTATGAGTCTTTGAATAGCAGTGCTATCCCTGCAATGTCCAGTTACTCGGTCAAAGTATTTGGAGATTGCACCTTCAGTATTCAAGCTGGTAAGTATGTGCTGGTTTGTTTGCTGAACGTATGCATTTGTGATAAACAGATATATCGGCTTTTGGTTATTGCTTTCAGATAAATTGTTTTCTTGAGCTACAAGGCTTGAAGGTAATGTTCTTCTGCCAGTACTAATTTCCATTGCATCTTCAGGAGTTATTGAAGCCACTCGACTTTGGAGGATATGAATATCGCCTTCAGTCATTGACCCAATTGTCATGTTGTTTAAGGCTACTGCAAATGGAACATCGTCTCTTTGTTGCATTATCTCCGTTAATTTATGAACTTTAAACAAATCCCAGATCTTGTACCCAAATAAGGATACAAATGGATTTGTATCTCTTGCATGGCTGGTGCTGTAAAGTGGTGTGTCCCCAACTGGTGGAAGTTGTAGGAAGTCACCAAATACAATAACTGATTTTCCACCAAAAGGAACTGATCTATCAAAAATATCTCAAAGTCTTTGATCAACCTATCCAAATAGTGTCTCTCCTACCATACTGATTTTGTCAATAATAACCACTTTCAGGTCTGCAAGTGCAACACCCATTGAATGGGTGACGTCAGATGAGAGTGAGGAAAGACCTTCTCTTCCACGTTGTGTGACAGGAAGATGGAAGGCATTGTGCAAAGTTTGAGCAGATATGTTGAAAGCAGCCTTTCCCGTTGGAGCACAAAGAAGTATGGATGGTGTGCTCATATCTCTTTCTCTTGTTTTGTCAAACTC